ATGATGATGATGCTGATGTTTATGATGATGCTGCTGATGCTGATGATGACGATGACGAGGCTGATGATTATGATGATGATGATGATGATGATGATGATGATGATGATGATGATGATGATGATGATGATGATGATGATGATGGTTGTGGTGGCGGTGATGCTGATTATGATTATGCTTATGATGCAGATGCCGATGCTGTTACTTCTGATGGTGATGATGATAATGATGATGCTGCTGATGATGATGCTGGTGATGGTGATTATGCTGCTGATGATGATTATGATGATGTTGCTGTTGAATTTGATAAGGACGATGAGGGTGGGGATGATGATGATGATGATGATGGTGATGATGCTGATGATGCCCATGATGATGCTGATGATGATGATGATGATGATGATGATGATGATGATGCTGATGCTGCTGATGATGATGATGATGATGATGATGCTGATGATGATGATGATGATGATGATGATGATGATGATGATGATGATGATGATGATGATGATGATGACGAGGAGGAGGAGGAGGAGGAGCAGGAGGAGAAGGAGGAGGAAGGAAGCGGACCAGAGGCAGAAGGACTAGGAGGGAGGAGAATGAGAAACGGCCTGGGGGAGGGGGCAGGGCTGATGGAGGACGGGCGGGGAATGCGGGGCGGGAGGAGGCGGGAGTCCTCGGCGCTGGTGTCGCCCTGCAGGAGTCCTCAGAGTCCCTGGATAGCGGCCCTCTCAACGAGGACACCATGACTACAGGGCCATCGCTCGGGGAAGCCGAAAAGGTAGTAGCGGGATGCGGCGGGGGAAGGTAGGGGGGGGGGGGGGATGGGGAGGGGCAGGGGCGGTAAGAGGGGAGATGGGATAGGGGTGACAGGCAATCAAGGTGAGGTCGCGCCAGATCTGACATCTTACCGCTCCCACCCATCCCTTCCTGCTGCGCTGAGTCTTCTCTGTCCGCCGACAGGTGTGGTAGAGGACCTGGAGGAATCCTCGAACGAGTCCCATCGTGTTATGCGCAGTCAGAAGAGGGGAGCTGTGTAGCTACATTGGGGGAGGAGGTGGGGGAGATGGCGGGTGAGCAAGAGAATCAGTAGGAGGAGGAGGAGGAGGAGGCTGAGAAGGGAGAGAGACAAGGAGCCACAGGTGCAGCAGGAGTAGGAGGAGTGGGTGGGGCAGGATGACCCGTGGAAGGCGGAGGAGGGGAAAGGAGCGGGGCGACAACGACCATCAAGGATCCAGATCCAGAATCATGGCCCGCGCTTGGGCGAGAGAGCCAATTTGAACGACGGGAGCAAAGCGTCGATGCTAAGACGAAGCCAGCGCTGCAACGGGAACACCATGTCGAAGCCCCGGGGGCAACCAACTTATCACACAATATAGAAGACCATTTGCCGTTTGAGATCCTGTGTTGTAGAGTGAGGCGGAGGGTGCGAGGCGTGTCGACGAGGAGGGCTCCTCCTCCTCCTCCTCCTCCTCCTCCGCCTGCTCCTCCTCCTCCTCCTCCCGCCTGTGGCAGCCCTCCTCCATTGCCCCTCCTCTCCCCTCTCCTCCCCCCCCTTCCCTCCTGCTGCTGTGTTGTCCCTTGCTGCTCCTCCCTCTCATCCTTCCTCCCCTCCTCCCTCTCCTCCTCCCTCCTCCTCCTCCCCCTTCTCATGTGACGCGCCTTCTGCGCCCCTCTCCTCCTCCTCCCCTCCTCCTCCTGCTCCTCCTCCACAATTACTCAATATGAATACTACTCTCCTCCTTCCCCTAATGACGGGTTGGGAGTGTTCGCCCCCCCCCCGCGTATTGTTTTTTACACAGGATTCCCCAGAGTTGGGTTTTCGCTTGCATTTGTTTCAAAATGCTGCTCTCGCTGAGGCGCCGGTTTCATTTTCGGGCCCCGCTCGGTCCGAATCGTGCTCCCGCTGCAGCGCTGGCCTCATTCCCGTGCTTCCGCTCGTTCCGAATCGTGCTCCCGCTGCAGCGCTGGCCTCATTTCCGCGCTTACGCTCGTTCCGAATCGTGCTCCCGCTGCAGCGTTGGCGTCATTTCCCGTGCCATGCCACGGCATGCAATGCAATGCTAGGTTGCGTTACGCTGCGCGATGCCATGCCTTCAGCTGAAGCAGTGATATGCAGTGCTTAAGTGCCACGTCGTGCTATGCCATGCTACGCTTTGATCTTCAACGCCATGCTATGCAATGTTATGTTCGGGGCTGCTGTGCGATGCCATGCTTTGCGTTGCAAAGCTTTGTGATGCAATTCTTCACTACGCCACGCCACGCCATGCTGTGACATTCTACGCTTTGCGCTGCTCTTCTACGCCATGCAATGCCGTGCTCTACAATGCATCGCGTACCCTTTCGGGATCATTGCCTTGCTCGACATCCGACTGTGCGAGTAGAGAGGGGATCTACGCCATGGTAAGGGATGGGAGGAAGGGGTAGGATGTCAGATAAGACGCGAGCGCACCTAGCGTGTCCTCCTCCCCCTCCCCCTCTTCCTTCTCCCCCTCCTCCTCCTCATCTTCATCATCATCATCCGCCTCCTCCTCCTCCTCCTCCGCCTCCTCCTCCTCCTCCGCCTCCTCCTCCTCGAGGCAGGGAGGAGGGAGGGGGAAGTGGGCGGTACTGGCCATATGCTTGGGCGGAGAGGAGCGACGCGTGTGGAATGGGTAGGGCCATGTCAGGAGACGAGATCTATACATATCCACTGTTCCCTGACCAGGCCTATCCTACACCCGGCAGCTGTGCGTACGCCCTCCTGGGCAAGCCAGGAGGGTGTGGCGTAGGCACCGCAGTTGGGTTCAGGCTGGGCCTGGCCAGGGAGCAGCGCATGTGCATAGAATTCGCCGCCCTACTATGGGGTACGTGGGGAAGGGGGGGTGGGGGAGGGGAAGGAGGTGGGGAGGGAGTTGGAGGTGTGCCGGCGGGCGGAGGATGGAGGCCATGAGGAGAAGGGAGAGGAGGAAGAGAGGGCGGAGGCATCAGGGCGAGGATCAGGGGGAGAGGGCGAGAGGAGAATTCCGGGGGCAGCGGAAGCGGTGGGAGGAAGGAGGAGGACGGAGGACGAGGAGGAGCATGAGGAGGACGAGACGGAGGACGACCAGTGTAAATCCGAGGCTCATCAACGATGTTGGAAGACACCCTCTGTTCGAGCTCCCTCTTCGTAGGCCCCTACAAGGATTTATTTCCACTGAGAGAAGAGCCCCACTAGAGGACAACCGTGTGATAATCTGGAAGCGCGCCCAAACACCATTCTCAGAATTTTAACGCAACGGGTCAACCTGGTTGTTGCGTCTTGGCGGTCCCAAACCGTGCCAGAACACCATTCCTGGGACTTCAACACTGCGAATCAACACAACTGTTGCGCCCTGACAATCCTGAACCTCTCCAAAGCACAGTTTCTGGTACGTGAACCACGCGAACCAGTGCAAGTCTTGCGATTGTTTGAAACCACTGTGTGCGGCGCTTTGGCGGGAGCCACATGTTGTCCGTGAACTCTTGCAAGGTTTTAGCACGAAGGTGCGCGGTGCTCAAGCGAGAGCCACATTTTGAAAAGGAGCCGCCCTCAATCCGTGAAGCTCCTGCAAAGTTTGAGAACGCATTGGCCCCGCGCGGAGGCGATAGCCACATGTTGAAAGCGACGCGCCCTCAATCCGTGAGGCTCTTGCACAGTATTAGCACGAATGTGCGCGGCGCTAATGCGAGAGCCACATTTTGAAACCGACGCGCCCTCCAACCGC